GTGCGCGTTTGGGAAGCGGAGGGGAGAGGCGCCGGGAAGCAGCTTGGGAAGGGGCTGATCCACGCGGAGGGAAACGTGGGAATAGGCGCTGGGAAAGAGGGGCCGGCCCCCGCAGGGAGGAAGCGGCTCCGGGTGGGAAGGAGCCTTAAGAACCGGGATGGGGAAGGGGGGGGACTTATTTCTTCAGGGGAGAGTCTCAGGAAAAGAGGGAGGCTCTGGGGAGCTGGGAAGGGAGGAGGAATTGAGGCTGGGAGCGCTCGGAAGCCGGGAGGAGGGGACGAGCGTCGACTTCTGGCGGGGAGAATGAGCGGGAAGCTGCTGCGGGTGGGGGGAAGAGGCAGCGGCCTGGGGGAGAATCCGGGATCCTGGAGCTCCGGGAGGCACCGGCGGAGCCGTGCGGAGCTCGGGAAGGGCCGCGGGGCTGGGGCTGCGCCGAGGGGGGACACGGAGCCGGGAAGGGCCGTCCGGGGCGCTCCCGCTGGGAGCAGGGGCGCTTGGACCCGCGCTTGGACTGGGAGTCTTGGAGCACGTGGGGGAAGCAGGACGGAGACAGGGACCACGATGGAGCTGAAATGGGATGTGCCCAGGCCGTGCAGACGCCGGGAGGGGGCTCGGCCTCTAACATGGCGGGAAAACGGGGTGGTTTTGCTGGGAAATGCCCTGGATGCTCCCAGGGAGTCCGGAGTGGAGGGCAGGGCCTGGAGGCCATCAGGGACTAGTTTGGGCAGGGAGCCGAGCACCATCCACGGGGCTGTGAACACCGACCCGGAGCCAAGAGAGGTGGAAACGAAGGGCTCTGCGGCCGAGGAACTCGTGTCCTGGAGAGGTTTTATTGGCTTTATTCGTTTGGAATAAAACAAAACCCTTTGCGTTCGAGCGAGGAGGGAGAGGAAGGTACTCGGGAGAGGTGGGTTTGGAGCCGCCGCCCCCGGTTGGGTTTGGAGTCCCGGCAGAGCTTCCTGTTGGTGCTCGGGATCTCGGTGGTGGAAATGATGAGAAGCAGATGGGGCTGCTCTGCCTTCAGCGCCCAACACGAGCAAAGCCTGAGCCGCCTCGGCTGGAGATGCTGGAAACACGGAGGGAAAAACCCAGCGGGAAACGCGCCCGGATCTGGTGCCGCTCTCCAGGGAAGAGCCCTGAGGACTGGGGGTGCTGGGAGACCGGGGGCTGCTCTTGGAGCCGGAGGAAAAGCTTTTGCCCCACTCATGTGGATGGTTTCTCCGCAAAAAAGAGCGCAAATCCGTGCTCTGCCCTGCCGTGTTGATCTGATGGGAAGGAGGGCAGGAGTTCGGGCTGCCCTCAGGTACCCGCAGGGGTTGAAATTCCTGTCTGGGTGCCCGGAGTTTTCATTTCAGGTTCCCTTTCTCTGCAGAGGGGAAGTTTTTTCCGCAGTTGCTCGTGCGGTTCCCCAAATCCAGAGGCTCACGTGGAAACGATGCAGTTGTGCTTTAAGCTGGTGGTTGTTTCAGTCTTGATGATTTTTGTTTAGTCTCCGCTCGCAGAATCCCACTTGGACTCCAGCTTTCCCGAAGTGCCGTCTGCCGCGCGCGGAGGGCTCAACGCGCCGGTTCCCGCGTGCCAAGGGGACACGCAGGAATCCCGAGAGCCATTCCGGGCTGGCCAGGTTTGGGAAAGGCAGCAGGAGGAAACGGTTTGAGCTGAAAACTCATCGGCGCGGAGCCGAGCTCTTAATCCTTTAAGACTCGGTTGATGGAACTAGTCTGTGCTCAAGTTGAATTTCTAGGGCTCTGCATTTTCTCTTGGGCAGCCCTTCGTTTCCGTGGTTAAACTACCAAACTTTCTGCAGGGAAAACCAATCGTGGAAGGCTCGGCCTCTTTCTTCCCAGCGGTCCATCCTTTTCCAAGCGCTCCGGGCGTCCCGGGGCTGCTTCCTCCTCGCCGCCGGCCTAGGAGCTGCCCTGTCTCCCTCCTCCGCTTTCCCCTTCCCAAAGGGGTTCAGCTTTGCCCTTGTGGTTAGAAGCATCAGAAGATAACGGGGAGTTTAGCACAGACCCATCCCAAGCTGGCCTCGGAATCGTATTTTTCAGTATAAAGCCACGTTCAAGTACCCGGGGGTGGTTGTAGGGAGGATGGGGCCAGGCTCTTCTCTGTGGTGGCTGGTGACAGGACGAGGGGTAACGGGTGCAAGTTGAAACACAGGAAATTTAATCTCCATGTGAGGAAGAGCTTTGCTGTGATGGGGACAGAGCCCTGGCGCAGGCTGCCCAGGGAGGCTGTGGAGGCTCCTGCTCCGGAGATCTCCAAACCCGCCCGGATGCCACCCTGTG